GGGGGGATCTTGGAGAATTGTATTTTGGTAAGGAACTTGAGAGAGTTCTTGGGAGAGAGATAGCCCTCTCGAAAGGCCATCGGTATTGTAATTACTCTTTTGTATTGCAATATAGTGTTCTTGTTAGGTTCTTGTATTCGGGTACCTAACAGAAGAATGATATGATTCACTGGCTCATGACAAAGCCAGTGAATATTCCTTATGACAAAGGAAGCACAGATGTGGTAAAAGGGAAAGGCTTCCTTTTTTACAACAAATACATTTGTTGAGTACAAAAATATTGGACAAGAAACAGAAGGAAAAACATCTTGAAATGCATTAGTAGATTCTCCTACATGCAACACCAAATACCTGGGTGGTGTTGCCAGTTCACCCATGATATCTAGGGTCGTTTTCTTTAACTCTTTAGGGTACCTTGGGATCGTCACAGGGATTGTCGGGCTTTGATAGAAGTGGGATTGTCAGTCTCCAATGGAAGAGGTGTTGTTCCCTTCTTCCCTACTTTTCGAGATAAGGGAAGATTTTTGCGGCAGGCTTGGATATGGAGGGAGAGAAATAATATAACTTTTAGGAGGTGGAGAGATCTATGGAGTTTGTATGAGAGCTTATTAGGTTGAATACTTCTCGGTGGAGGTTGGTATTGAAATTGTTTTTGTAATTATCAAATAAGGCGTTATCTTTATGGATTGGAGCCCCTTTCTTTAGGTGGGCCTCCTATTGTAATGCTGGTTTTTTATATGCCCTTGTACCTTCATCTTTTTTCTTTCACTTTTCTAAACGTATGGTTTCTCATTAAAAAATATACATATACCAAAGCAAATACCTCAAACCTTTTGGGAATTTCTCTATCCAAATTACTTAATATGAAACAAAGTTAAGGTCAGAATAGAATATCTGGTGAGGAATTAAAAGAAAGACCTAAAATATAATTATTTATTTTATAAAAAAAAAAATCAACAACAAAAACAACATGAATGTGTTATTATTTTTATTTAGAAGTACAGGTTAAAGCAAATATTTCTATGGTGGAATCAAGTGAAAGAAAGGAGTTATAATT